CTTTAGATAGATAGCTCTCTAGCTTTTAATATAGATCTTTATTACGATTCTATCTTTAATTTTAATTACCTAGTTATAGTCTATAGTCTACGACCTCTAACTTATTACTAACGTAATATATATATTATTACTTAGACCACGCCCTATTATATCTACTAATATAAACCCCTCGATAGGTTTATCCCTTAAGAATAATACCGGTCGTTATAGTACGGTCTATTAAAAGAAGGTTAATAATTTATAAAATAAAAAAGAAAGAAAAGTTATAAGGGCTTTTACTTTATATAGGCCTAAACTAAGGTCTAGGCTAAGTTTATATATAAGCGGCCTCTATACTTATATAGGCTAAGCTTAGACTTCTCTTTTTTTTTCCTCTTATAAATTATTAACCTTCTTTTAATATACTATACCTAAGCTTATACCTTTACTTACTTTATAATAATATAATCTACCTTTTATTTTACTCTCTCTTTATCCCTATATATAGAATAGCTATTTTTAGCTACCTTTAAATCTAATATTTAATTACTTAGTTTAGTTAAACTACTTACGCTAGTATATATATACGTAAAATATTTATATTCTTATAGTTATAAAATTAAAATAAATATAATACTTAGTTCGATTAAGTAATTAAAAGCCTTTTATAATAGTAGGGCTTTATATAATTAAGAGCGGTATTACTATACCTTAGTAAGTTTAATAGCTTTTTTATAGAGCTTAAGCTATAGCTATTTTATATAAAAGTAAAGCTTTATACTAATAGCGCTATAATAAGGGATATCTATACTTAATTTAACTATCTTTATATAAGCTTATCCTTATACCTATAAAGGTATCTCTTACTATTTATATATACTAGTATAAATAGACTAGCTAACCTCTTTATAAAGCTTTATACTAATTATAGCGAACTTATTATAGCTAAGTTAGTAGGCTAGGAGCTTATAATACTCTATTAAAAGTAAAGTAAAGTAATTCTAGCTTACTTTATATAGTTTAAAGAAGTACTATATTAAGTAGATATATATAGCTAGCTTAATATAGTAAAGTATAATTACCTTATTATAAGCTTAAATATAAATTAGTATACCTATTTAGGTAAAAGGTTTATATTACTAAATATATATACTAATCTTATTTACCTTTTTTAGAAGCTTAGTAATAATAAGTTTCTTTTTTTATCTTCTTTTATAATATTAGAAAAAGATAACGCTAGTAATATTATAGATATCTTTATCTTTACTATAAGGACTAAGGATAAAAAGAGGTAGCGATAAAAAGGTCGCTATATAAGCTATAGTAGTAAATCCTATTAGTTTATAAAGTACTTATACTTAAAGGTATAGGTAAACGTACTCTAAGTAATAAAGGGGTATATACGCTAAGATAAAAAGAAAGTTAAGTTTAATAATAGCGACTTTAGTAGCGAGTAATCTTAGTAATACCTTTATAGGCTTTATTAGCATTCTCTTATATATAGTAGTAGCTATTATATAAACGGAATATATACTTATAGCGACTAAAAGGGCTGCTAAGATATAAGAAGGCCGCTAATATAATATAACTATAGCGAAAGGGAGTGCTTATATAGCCCTATATAAAAGGGAGTAAAGCCTTATATATTAAAGTACTATCCCTTATATTATAGTACTAAGAGCTACTACTATACGCTAATATAGGGGGGGCGGGATACTATAAGCTTACTAAAGCTAGCTATACGCTATTTTATATACCTTTACTCCTTAATTATAAATACTAAAGTCTAACTCTTAAGGCGCGGCCCCTATTAATAATATAGTTTATTTAAGAAGCTTACTTAAGAGGGTATTATACGTTATTTACTAACGTTTTTTCCGCGACTAAGTATATATAGTCCGCGTAAGGGTTCCGTTCCCCTAAGCGTAGTATTAAGTATTATTTAAAGTCGCGCCTCTTTAAAAGCTAGGTAGGGGTATAATAAAAGGGCTTTTACCTTATATAGGCCTAGACTAGGGTCTAGGCTAAGTCTATATATAAGCGGCCTCCGCGCCTATATAGGCTAAGCTTATACTTTTCTTTCTTTTCCTTTTTATAAATAATTTACCTTCTTTTGATAGACCGTATATAAGCTTACGCCTCTACTTACTTTATAATAAAAGTATAAGCTTAGCTTATATAGGCGCGGAGGCCGCTTATATATAGGCTTAGCTTAGACCCTAGTCTAGGCCTATATAAGGTAAAAGCCCTTATATTATACCCCTACCTAGCTTTTAAAGAGGCGCGACTCTAAATAATACTAAATACCGCGCTTAAAGGGACGGAACCCTTTAGTCTTCGTTCCTTAAGGCTCTTTACGCAACCTATAAGGGATTGCCTTACCCGTTCCTTAAGGCATAATCGCATCCGTGTCCGATAGTAATCTTTATAATATATCTAAAAGCGGCTTCGTTATTATCCCTAGTTATAGTTATTCCGGAAGTCGCTTTATTTAAAATTTACTATATTTCGCGGAAAGCCTTATATATCCGTCGCTGGGTGCGCTGGCATGTTAGAAGCCATAGATGGCTGAATGTGGTCGTTAGTAATATAGGCGATTTGCGGCCGTTGGAGCCTGGGCCGGCTGAAAAGATAGGTAGTCGGCCACCCCCCGCGGATTTTCGACCGGGCTGGTCCTAGCGTTCTTGCACGATATATAGTATTAGTAACTACTATGTACTGTTCTTGCTTGTCATAAGGTGACGCGGTATTCTCACGTGATGCCTCGGCCTTATAGGTTGAGGAATATGCAGGCTCACGTGTATTGAGTTTAAGCGCGTTAAAAGATAGAGCGTTCTGCGATTAGCTTAGATTTAAGGCTATATGGACTGCTTAATTGCAAAGACCTCGGGATACACCTATGCGAAGTATTCACCCCAACGCAAGGACCCAGAGTTCTGGAAGCTTCTTAGCCCCTTTCGTTGTTCACGACCACAGCCCTCCTGAACGATCACAACGTACGTTGAGTCGAAGCATCTCAGTGTGCCGTCAGACGTCCCGTACCATCTCTACAGCCTCATGACCGCGCATACACGTGGACCAACTGATTGCTGATTACGACCAAAAATAAGCGTTGACATGGAGCTAGAAACAGACTATGCTAAAGTAGAGCATCGCCGACATCTCGCGCCAAAGAAAACAAATAGGCAACCGACCAGCGGCCGGCACGGAAAAGCAGCATAAAGCACAGACAAAACCCGACCAGCAGATTGGCAATGACGAATAAAAGAGCTCGTCGATAATGGTGTGAAGACACTACTTGCTCAATGCTTCGAGAGGACATGCTCGACCGCATGAATCGTTCGAACATCTCCCGCCATGGAGGCCATTATCTTGTTTAGGGCCTGCTGCGCCTCACCCATGTCGACCATCAAGGCTTCAAACCGTCGCAGCCGCTGCTCGGTCGCACCCAAATGGCTAGGCGATCCGTTCGAGCTTGCACTGAGGCTACGCTGCCTACGCGGTGGTCGCTCTGAAGCCAATGATTCTCTTGCGTGAGCGTCTCGGAGAGCCCTCCATCGTATGGCGTCCTTCTCGACCTTTACAGGGTCCACGTAAGAGCTCTCAAACCCGGCTTGCCATGGTGGAGGTATTCTATCCCTCTTGCACACGTTCTCTATTTGAGCATTTGCACTCGTCGCTCTAAGAACCTTTAAGCTTGTCGAAGTCAAAATATTAATGCCTTTCTAATAGAACCTAACACAACAGTCTGCGGGTAGATCCCTGCTATTTGCCGCTAGATTTTTGCGTTGTGTTTACGATTTCGTCACCTAGAGCAAGCTCATCGAAGTCGCGCCTATCCTTACTAGACCACACCGACTGCCCATCGGCCAAGTTTTTGTGGCCAGCTGCGGTCTTGTACTTCTCCATCTCGAGAAGCCCAACCTCCGTCGCGGATTCGTGCCATGTGTTTCTGGTACCGCAGGCCCACATCCATGACCACTCCCGGAATTTTATACTATTCCTAGGTTCAATCTCTTTCCCTTTGATCAAAAACGGCATGTCGCTGTTGCGCCTGGTGACTCGCGTGAAGTGGATAATTGTTGTCTTATCCGCTTCAAACGTCGCGCCGCTGCGCGCCTCCCACTCGAGCGCATCATCAATAATCGACTAAATACCTTCCCGGTTCGCCTCCGCGGTTAAGCCGGTCACCTAGGTCGAGTAATCGTCCACGAATACAACTAAGCCTCCCTCTACCTTAATCTATCTCTCACTAAGTCTACGTTAAAGAAGAGGAAGGCAACCGGTGATAGCGGCGATACTTAGGGGAGACCAGCCTAGGGCAACTCCCGCTATTCGGACGTATACCCATTCACCATAGCCGAGGCTATTCGCCTAGAATAGAAGGCACCTATCCATCTTACTAGTCTCTCTAGTATCCCCTTCGCCTTTATCCTCTCGAGTAGTCGCTCTTTGTAAACTCTATAGTAGGCGCCTTTAATATCGAAACTAATTAGGCTAAGCACTTTACGAGCCCGCTAGGCCTTATAAATTTATTCCTATAGGAGCAGGAGCGCTTGCTCGGCCGACCATCGCTTCCTCGCCCCGAAGTGGTTCGCGAGCAGGAGCCCGTGAGCCTCTACTGCGTAGGATATGCGCTCTGCAACGACCGCTTCTAGTATTTTGCTAAGTGTCGATAGATGCGATATCGGTCGCCACGCCTTCGCCACCGTATAGTCTCCTTTGTCCGGCTTCTTTAGCGGGATAATTTTCACGCTTCTCTATTGGCGAGGCAATCACGAGATCCGGCAGATTACCGGAAAATCCTTTACTCCTGGGATCCAACAGTTTGCTTTATTGACCCCGCCTTTGCTGCCGTACCTGCACCAAACAAAATAATGGCGTCTATCCTCAACACATTTCTGGAGAATCATCCGTCCGTCCGCTTTGTCCGACTACAGTGGCAAGACGTATCCGGACTCCTACGCGCGCGCGTAGTTCCCTTAGAACAGGCGAGACTAATAGCGGGAGGCAAGAAGACAATGCAGCTAGCACCATGTGCGCTCAACTTGGCCGTGGAAAATAGCGTCTTGACCGCGCCTACGAATTATTTAGGCAGTGATACGGGCTATCCAGACTGGACTACACTGCGGACAAGGGCGTTGCTAGATCCGCTCTACGCCTCCGTTATGTGCACCATTGCGAGAGATCACGGACCGCAGCCAAAGCAGGACAATTTTTGTCCGCGTCGCGCCCTCAAGACCGTACTGTCAAAAGCATCTCAGCGGTTCCAGCTGGAATTTATGATAGGTTTTGAAGTCGAGTTTGAGGTATGGAGGCGCAACGAGGACGACAAGCTGGTCTTGCACAGCACCGGCTTGGGAGGCGCGGCGTGTTCTGGCCTCCGCCATGGATGCTACGAGTACGTTGAGGAAACCATGATGATACTCCTGGAAGCTGGGGTTGGACTGGAGGCGATGCATACTGAAGGGCAAAAAGGGCAGTATGAGTTCTGCCTGGCGCCGAAACGACCTATGGAGGCTGTGGATGAGCTGGTGTTTGTTCACGATACGCTTAAGAGAGTGTTTACTCGCCATGGGTTGATAGTCACCATGTTTCCGCGTCCGGCGGCAGATCGAACTCAATCTATTGGACAACACGTTCACATCTCCATCGGTAATCGCCCGGAATTGGAAGTTTCTTTCCTCGCTGGAATTCTACGTCATCTCCCTAGCTTGATCGCCTTATGTTTACCATACGATATGTCATATGCAAGGCTCAGGCCCGGGCAAGGTGGCAGCCACATCGTCGCCTGGGGCACGCAAGACCGTCGGGTCCCCGTCAGGAAAGTGAAATCATGCCATTGGGAGCTGCGTTGTGTTGACGCGACGGCTAATATGTGCCTTGTGCTGGCTGCGACGCTGAGCGCGGGATTGTTGGGCTGCATGAACCGCGAAGTGCTGCAGTTTCAGGATACTTCGTCTTTGAGCGAGGAGGAGATTATTAGGAGCGGAGATGTATATATTCCTGGAACGTTTGAGGCTGCTCTGGATCAGCTTGAGCGGGTCTACGAAAGTGAGGGCCAGTTCAAGGCCATTGAGAGGTCGATGGAGAGTCAAGTTATCAGACATTACTTGGAGATGAAGAGATTTGAGCTGTCTAAGTTAACTCAGATGGGAGCAGATGAGGCAAGGAGTCTGCTTATTGAGTTGTTTTAATATCTTAGTAATAGCAGCGCTGCCCTCAAATCGAGCAATTCAAATCCGGGGGCATACTTGTTTGTTTGATGGAATTGTACTGTTTCTTATAGCCTCTTTAAAGGGTTGACTCCTTTGGGTCGGTTTTCCTCGAAGACCTGCTAGCATTGTGATAACCGATGGCCTAGGGATTTGCAGGCTAGGCAGCCGTTTCGTCGTCTGGTCTTCTGTTTCTTCGAGGAATCCTCGTCCCGATCCGGAAGGTCTGCTTGAAAACCCCCCCTTTTTACCCCTTATTGCTGATTTTAACGAGGTTCGATTTCGACTAGTTCCCTGATTTTTCGACTAACGGACTGAAAGGTCCATTGGGGGACTAGTCGGGCCGGTCTGACTGACGGGACCGGGGCCGGGCCCGGAGCAAGAGGCGGAGCCGGGGCCGGGACTGGGGCAGCCGTTGAAGACGGGGTTAAGGCTCTCGAGGGAGGAGGAGCCGGAGGAGCAACAGCCGCAGCAGCAGCAGCGGGGGCCGCAGCAACAGGGGCTGCAGCAGCTGCAGGGGCAGCAGGTCGAACCGTCTAGGTCGAGTGCTGGCCACGAAGGAATAAGACTGCTTGCTGTTGTACTCTGGCAGCCTCTTCGTCTAGTTCCCGGCTAGCTTCTCGAAAGATAGTCGAGTAACCGTCACTAATAGGCTTTATTAGCAGAGATATATCCCGTAGCTACTAGCCGGAAAGAGCTTCTATTAGGAAGTATTAGTTAGCTTCCTCGAGGATTTCTTCCTACTTAGCTAGCTACGAAGAAGCTAGCAGGTTTCTAGCAGAAAAGGCTCCTAGGTGTGCCGTATAGGTCTTCTTAATACGGTTAGTTATATAGCCCCTCGAGGGAGCTATCGAGGTCTCGAGCTTTAAAAGCTACTGCCTAGGAGTCTAATAACTCTCGTAGTTACCTAAGGCAGTAGAAAAAGCTCTCTGCTATATAGAGGTTAGCTTAGAGAAGAGGGAAGCTCCCTCTATAAATTCCGTTGCCCTAGGACGAAGAGGGGGCTCGAGAGGGTCCTACTTATTAGAGAAGACTAAATTATAGATAGTTCTATCTATACGAGCCCGTAGCTCCTTTACCTACTTATCCTAATCTTAGGGCTTTATAAGAATCGTCCTACGGACCGTAGGGGCGGCAAAGGAGTCGTTTTTCGATATTATTACGGAAGAGGGGGCAGAAAAGTCGGTTAAAAATCGGCTTTTCTAGTAAGAGAGGTAAAAGGGAGCTATAACGGATATAAGAAAGGTGCCTTTTATAGCAGCCGGAAGGTATAGGAATACTATTCCTTCCGGACTTATAACTCTTATAAAGAGAGATATAAGAAGTATATATAAAATATATAAAGGTAAAAGTAAAAGTAAGGGGTTAGATAGGTAGGGTAGAGATATTTAATTCTTATAGGGGCAGTAATTATAGTAAGGGAGTAATTATTATATTTCCTTAATTATCCTTCTTTCCTCTATCTAACGCCCCTCTTTATACTTATCTAGTATCTTAATTAATAAAGAAGATCCTACTTAAAGAAGCTACTAATATCCTTTTAACTACCGAGCTTTTTACTAGGTTTTCCCCTCCTTTTTAGCCGTTACTAGTATATCTATCTTATCTCTCGCTACCTCTATAAGAAGCTATCGCTACTTTTACTTCCCCTTATACCCCTACCCTCCTTTTTATACCTCTTTTTAGCTCCTCCTTCCTTCTTTTATACCGGGTGTTTTTAGCTTCCTTAGTCCCTCTTACTAAAGGATATCTTTAAGAACTATAAAATTAAGCTATACTTTACGATAATAATAGCGCTACTTATAGTAATCCCTACTATTAAGTAAAGTATATATCTATAAGGTTAATAGTACTATAAGTATCTAAGTATATAGGGACTTTAATAGGGTTTTACTTTAATATCGTTATAAGAGTTTTAAGTAACTATCTTATAAGTATTAAGTTTACTAAAGGAGAGGCGTTTACCTTAATATCTTACCTTTTCCTTAGTTTATAGTATTAAATCTAAGAGTCTTTACTAAGGTCTTTACCTTTAAAATATTAGTATATTCTATAGATAGGTATCCTAGCTTATTATATTAGAAATATATAATTCCTAATTAAGTAAAAGATCCTTTTCTTTAATAATATCCCTTAGTTTAGCCCTTAATAGGTATATCGCTAGCTTATTAGTTATTAGTTAAATTAATATTATTTCCTTAATAATTCGGCCTAGCTTATTAGCTTCTTTAATTCCTCCCCCTATATATACTACCTTAAGGTATAGTACTATTTCTATTCCTAGTTCCTTTAAGGGTAAAAGTAGTATTAGTACGTTGCCTTTTATTAATAGTAGTATCCTAATATTATTAGGCGACTTATATAAGCTCTTCTCGTTAATAGGTATAAATAAGTATTAAATAAAGGTTAATTTAGTCTTAAAGTTATAGCTCTAGCTTAGCGAAAAACGTAAGAGTATATACCTTTTTTAATAAGCGTTTAAAATACCTCTTTAAGGAGTTAAGGTATAAGCTAAACTCTAAGGGGGACTAGCTTTCTTATTAATAAGCCTCCTTTAATTATATTACTAATAATATCTCCTTATTTATAGTATCTTTAATTAAGATAAGTATTTATTCTTTAAAGTATACTTAATCTATACTATATTTAGTTTAGTTAATCGGCGTTTATTCTTAAAGGTATTAGTACTATCTCCTTTTATAATCGCTATATATATAATCTACCGCGTAAAGGATCTTTATTTCGTTATAATAAAAACGTTTAAGCGCTGCCTTAAAAGCGTCCTTTAAATTATAAGTTTAGTCTAAACGTTTTTATATATTAGTAGGTTAAGATAATTAAGCGATATTTTTAATCTTAACCTTACTACTATAACTACTATCTAATTTAAGAAAGTAGGACTATTAACGCTTTCCTAAATAAATAGCGATAGTACTAGCGCGTTTAGTAATTTTCTCCTTTAATTATATAACGTAATCTTATAGGTATTTTATATCCTTTAGCTCCTTAATATATACTTATAAAGCTATAAGATTTTCCTTATAAGACGGTTATCTTATACTTATAGGTAGCGATATCTTTAATATAGTTATAATACTATTTATAATAAGGGTCTATTTTAAGGATATATCCTTTTATTCTTTATCTCTTAAGTATATACTTAATATATATAATAAAGAGGCCTTAACTAGTTAACTACTATATTACGCTATAGAAGCGTTATATAGTCTTCTTTAAGTAGCTATCTCTATTAAGTAACTAAAATAAAAGCTTTAGAAATTATAAGGAAATATATATTATAGTACGATTAGTTAGGTAGTAAAGATAGCTAAAATTCCTATACTATATATATTATATTCTCCTTATTATAAGACTAAAGCTTATAAGAAAAGGGATTTTTCCTTTTTAGTTAAAGTAGTAAGTAGTTTATAACTTATAAGTAAGGTAGGTATAATTCCTTATTAATACCCTAGTAATACCTCGACGTATACTACCGCGCTTACCCCTCCTTTACCTACTTATAGCGCCGCTACTACCGCCCTATCTTAAGTTAAGCGTCTTAGTAAGTTAGCGTATTAGCCCTTAGTAGGGACTAAGCGGCCCCGCGGGTATATAGTCTCTAGAATTATTTAGACTACCCGCCCTATCTCCTTTTTATTTATTTCGCCCGCCGGCCGATCCTACTTATAGTAAGATAGCGCGTTAGGTACTACCGCTAGCCTCCTTAGCTAGAACTTTAGTATAAAGTTATAGGATATAAGCTTTATTACTTATTAGCTCTATCTCTCGTTTAACTTTTTCTTTATTATAAAGTACTTTAAGTTATTATAGTCGGTTAGTGCTATAAAGGCGGGTATATTTTAGAGTTCTATTCCTTAAAAGTCTAAGTACTATATAATTATAAGTATATCCTTATTATAGATTAAGTAGTTATACTTTACTAGGTTTAGTCTCTTTAAAAAGAATCCTACTAAGTATTATATACCGTTTAGCCTTACCTATATAAGCGCCCCCCTTATTATATATCTAAAATAGTCTACTTTTAAGTATATCTCTCTTTTTAGGTTATAGAGTTATAGTACTAGGGCGTTATAAAAGGCGTTCTAAATAAACTTAAACGCTACTTAGTACTTATCTATTTACTTAAAGATCGCGCTCTTTTTATAAAGGCTATCTAAGTATATTAATACCTTTATATAAAGTAGTATAAAGGCTTAGTAGTAGTTCGCGAAGCTAAGGAAGCTTTAAACTCCTTTTATATTCTAAGGTACTTACTATATCTATACTACCTAGATCTTCTTTAAGTTATACTAAACCTTACCTCTTACTTATATAATAAAGCCTAGGTACTTTACCTTTTTTATCGCAAAGTTATACTTCCTTAAGTTTAGTATTAGGCCCGCTTCTTATAGCTTCTAAAGTACCCTTACTACCTTCTCTTAGTAGTCTTAAAGAGACCTTATTAAGTAGATTAAAATATTATTTATATACGCTATAACGAACTTATATAGGTATTCCCTTAGTACCTTATTAATATATTATTAAAAGGTAGCCGGCGTCCCTATTAAGCTAAATAAGTATACCTACTACTTAAATAATCTAAACCTTATTTAAAAGGCTATCTTAAACTTATAGCCCTTTACTATCTAGATCTTATAAATCTCGCGAAGAGAGATATAAGAAGTGCATAAAAATATATAAAGGTGAAATTAGAAGTAAGGGGTCGGATAGGCAGGGCAGAGAGATTTAATTCTTATAGGGGCAGTAATAAAGATAAAGGAGTGATTATTATATTGCCTTAATTATCCTTCTTTCCTCTATATAACGCTCCCCTTTATACCCGTTTAGCATCTTAATTAATAAAGAAGATCCTACTTAAAGAAGCTACTAATATCCTTTTAACTACCGAGCTTTTTACCGGTTTTTCCCCTCCTTTCTAGCTATTACCGGCATATCCGTCTTATCTCTCGCTACCTTTATAG